TTACAAAACATATCCTGGTCATCAGAAGAGAGAAACTGTCCTTTTGGACCCACCTCTCACTGGCCTCAGAGGTTGGAACGGTATTTGAAGAGATGCATCATTCACAATCAACTTGTCTTAATGGGGAAAATCTTTGAAAAAGTAAAGACTTAATGGCTTCACTCCAGACAGCAAAATATGACCTGGTTCTGACAGATCCGGCTTTTGGAGGTGGAGTTTTCCTAGCGCGCCGTCATGGTCTCCCTCTTGTGCTAAATGTCCGTTGGACGATGCATGTAGAGGCACATTATGAAATAGCTCTTTCACCACTATCGTTTGTTCCTGTATACCATGAGTAGAGCTGACAGATAAGATGACGTTTGCTCAACATGTACAGAACGTAATGGGATACATATTTTCAGTTTATCACAAAACCAGGTTTATCTCCTCACACTACCAGTCCTTCTGCAATAAATACTTTGGATCAGAAATTAATTTTGAATCCCTCCTTCGGGATGCAGACATCTGGCTCACGTGGAAATGAGTTTCCACGACCCACAATGCCCAATATCGTCTAAATGGGGGGCTTCCAATGTAAACCCACCAAGTCGCTTCCAGTTGATCTTGAGGAGTTTGTGCAGAGCTCAGGAGATCATGGACTCATTGTCATGTCCCTAGGGACTCTTTTTAGCCATCTTCCACAAGATATCACAGAAAGAATTGCTGCCGCTTTTGACAGATTGGCCCAAAAAATCATTTGGAGGCACACCTGATCTCGACCTGTCAAAACATTACTCGTTGACTGGTTACCTCAGAATGACCTGCTTGGACATCCTCAGACTAAAGTGTTTATAACACACAGAGGCACTAATGGCATCCAAGAGGCCATCTATCATGGGGTGCCCATTTTGGGTCTACCTATAGTATTTGATCAACCTGACAATCTGTCTAGAATGAAAGTTAGAGGCACAGCTAAACTTGTGGATATTGCAGAATTGAACAGGACGATGTTTCTACAGGCACTGGAGGAAGTGCTGTATAACCCATCTTACAAGGAGAACATGCAGAGACTGTCCAAGCTGCACCACGACCAGCCAATGAAACCTCTTGATCGTGCGGTCTTCTGGATTGAGTTTGTCATGAGGAACAGAGGAGCTCCTCATTTACGAACACAGTCTTTCAGAATGTCCTGGATTGATAGATGTTATTTTGACTCTGCTGATGATAGTTGTTTTGTTTTGTTTTGTTTCATGATTCATAAGATCATAAAATTTCTGTGTTTTAAAGTAGTATTTAAGAAGAAAATTAAAGTCAGTGATTGAATATTTGGCCAGAATCCCAGGAATTTATTCCATAACCAATGTTTCTATTTTCATTTTATAATAATAATAATAATGCATTTTATTTAATGGCGCCTTTCAAAACACCCAAGGTCACCTCACAAGCAAGCAAAGATAAAAATAAATACAAATCACTACACAATAAAAAACACACAACAAACACTCCACATATACAGATAAAGTGCAGTAAAGACTCAATAAAACATTATAAGAAAGCCTGTATAAAAAGATATGTCTTAAGACGCGTTTTAAAAGTCAGCAGGCAATCGCTGTTGCGAATATCAGGTGGAAGTGAGTTCCATAGGCGGGGGGCAGCATAGCTAAAAGATCTGGCACCCATGGTAGTTAGTCGAATCCGAGGTACCACAATGACCAGAAAGACCGCATTTGACATGAGCCATCGATGTTATAACTTCGCCGAGACCCGCGATGTATATATTTCCGGGCTGAGAAAATAATGTTCTCCTGGAAAGTTTAAAAATAACACATGAAACCTATATAAACCTGAATGAATCCTTTTATTTGTGCTCTCTCTTGTTTTCGAGGAGAATTTACCTAATCACAAATTATATATTTTTCAACAACAAAAAAATGTGCACAACAATATGAGTGGAAAAAGAGTGAAATAAACTTATTGTTGCACTTGATTTACATCTTCTGGTGTAAAGTACACTGCTTGTAGCACAGCAAATTTTCAAACTTAATTCTTCTAAGCATCATTTTTATAAGGACAAAAAATATATATTAAAGGCTATTTTTAATTTACTTATCTACACGCCTAAGGGCGGCTGAATTTATCTAAAAAAAAAGTTTTAATCTTTATGTCTGTACAGACTGTATTATGCATACAGAAAATTAAGAAGAATGCTTAATGAAAATACACTGCTACTGCTACTGTGTAGGAACGAGGAGCGAAGGAGCGAGGAGACGTGGGAGAATTCACAAAATACAGACTTTATTAACTCCTTCTCTGGTTTTGAGTTAAGGAGCGGGCTGCTGTTAGCTGAGGGCTTGGGAGGGAATTGGCCGGCCGGCATGACAATGGAACGGCTGGCGGGCTTGACTTCGAAGTGGCCGACAGGCTTGAGAGTGCAGTGGCCGGCGGCCTTGACTACTGAGAGGCCAGCGGGCTTGACTTCGGGATCGGCGGGCTGGACAACCTTAGGACAATTTATTGCACAAACCAGGGAAACACACACAGACACACATATGCCATGGAGTAGACATATAACACAGGATGCTAGACACAGGAAACACTGGGCTTATAAACACAGGGAACGTAATCAGGGAGAACTGAAACAGGTGGAGTAATTAATCAAAAACCATGGAAACTAATGAGGGAACACCTGAAATCAAAAGACAAGGGAGGTCCAAGGGCGTGACAGCTACCTTTTAAGCACTGTATTTAAATAAATAAATAAAAATTATTTAACTATTACTATTATATATTAACTATTATTTTGTCAAATTATGTTTTGGGTGGTTATGAGTCATTGAAAAAAATGAAGCGTCATGCAAGTGCAAATGATATGCATATGACACACTGCTGTTTTAATTAGCAACGGGAATAATATGCTGGAAGAACACCAGAGGCATCATCAGACATCACAATCTCCATCAGCCTCACTGAACTTCTATTTTGTTCTATTATAGATATTATATTATTATCACACACCTGTACTACTGCAGTTAAAAAGTTTAAATACATTTATTTTGACAGTCCCTAAAATACACAATTCTATATAGACTGCATTAAAGCATATACTCGAAACATTATTTGCAACATTGCAGTTTCCTTAGTGGGCATTTCTCTGGAACACAACTTGCCTTTCTACCTACATGCAAATTTCATCTGGTGTGGGACAGATGAGAAATGAGAAAGAGAAGAATGTACCAGACAGATTCAGCCCTATAGGCTACAGAATGCCGAAGTTGAAACTTCCTTGGTATGTATTGGCATTTCTAACAGAAGATGTTTCCAACACTTGTTTACCATCGCCTGAATGAACTGTGTCAGTTTTAGGAAACAGTTTTCATGCATCCATATATAAACTGGCAAAATGTGATATTTATGTATACAGAGATATCACAGTTAGCATCTATTCTGGTCAAAGCCAGTGTGAACAGCTTGTGCATGACATGAAGTGCAATGTTTGCCCGCTCAGTAGGGTACAAGTGCAAACAATTGCAAAGTAGAGTGCAATGAGAGATTTATTTATATTTTTTTCCATGCCATAGTTTAGACCAGGGGTAGGCAAGTTCAGTCCTAGAGAGTCGCAGTCCTGCAGAGTTCAGCTCCAATCCTAATCAAACACACCTGAACAAGCTAATCAATGTCTTCAGGATTACTAAGGCTATAGGCAGGTGAGCTTTTTTTTCAGGGTTGGAGCTGAACTCTGCAGGACTGCGCAGCTCTCTAGGACCGAACTTGCCTACCCCTGGTTTAGACCAAGTTTTGTTAACAAAATACTTTCTCCAAAATCGGTTAATAGAAATAAAATACATTTTAATGTAATAATTGCTCCAAAAACGCAATATTAACATTAAACATGTATGATTAAATATAATTTTTCACCTTTACAAGGTCTTACCGTTAACAAATACACTTTTTTCTACAACATTACTGTCCAGTAGATGGCCGTAGACTGTCATCCTGAGAACTACAGATAAAAGTGTTTGTTTTGGCAGGGAATGGCAATGTTGGCACATTATGGCAGTGATTAATGTGTTGGTTGAATGAATGAATGAATGAATGAATGAACTTACTGTTATAAGAAATAGTTTGTACTAGGTTCCCTAGAGAGAAAGTAGCCTATACAGAAATAATTAAATTCATGTTTTCCTAAAAGATGGTTTAGTGCAGCAAGGCTGTTATGAAACTCAGTTTAGAGCAATATCCCATCAGTATGTGGTTTTTGAACATTTTAAAACTTCATCTAGCGTGCAAAAATGTCATCTCATGCATCAGATGCGCCACCCTATTCATGGTGTCTACACTGTTGTCTGTAAAATACAGTTTGTGTCAATTCATGTCATTAGGCTATGACATTCATCTCACATTCACAAACAACTTTATATTGTATAGTGAATTCAATTTTACTGCATTCAAACGTAAAATACAACTACTACAGTTAAAACTTGTTAACTGTTTAAATGTAGCCTAAGTAACCAAACATAAAATATACTACATTTAAAAAAAAAAAAAACATGTAAATTTTCAGCAAAATATTGTTGAAATTACATTTTTAGTGCGTAATATGGACAAGATGCCATTCCCAGTCTCCTGTTTTCTGATACATTTTGAATATTTTTTTTTGCTACTGCATTAAGTGGCATGTTTTCTGGGTAGGCCAATACTGAACTTGTTTACAATGAAAGATATTAAAAACTCAGATAGGTTGGTATAGCTATTTAGGCTACTTTATGTGATTTAATAACATACAGGCCTACAGTTAGAAACTAATATATGCAGTCACACTGTGTTTTTACGCAGTTGGTAGCATAAATTCAACAAATGTCTTACTAATTGAACAAATTCAGCTTTAAAATTAAAATAGCCTAATGGACAATAAACTAAAGTCCACTTTCTCCACGAAGCCCCTAAAGACCTCCAAATAAAGGAATATGATAATCACCTGAGGACTGTGTCCATCTTTCTGGGATGTAGGCAGGACAGGTCTGCTATCGCGGGAATTTAAGAGGACAGCGCCACCGTCTTCACGAGCCTCGTTTTAAACCGGATGTAAGTGTAGCGGCTCGCTATTGCTAGGCGACGGGCTTTTTGCGTGACCCTATTCTAGCTCCAGCAGGTCGCCTCGTCATTGTAGCAGCTCCCTCTCACTCACATCTTCCTCGACAGCCCTCTTCTCCTCCCGCTCCTCCGCATCCCTCCACACATATCCAGGTAGCCAGACGACCTAGAAAATGTCTTACGCGGGGAATGCGCTGGTGATATTATTCGGAGTCCTGATGCTGCATTCAGGCTTCGCTCAGAACGGTAAGGACTTTAAAAATGTGTTGCGTTTAAAGAACCGTTTCATCGCATAAACTCTCACCAATCCTCAGCATTGCTTTCGGAAATACTCCGAACTAAATGGACGTCAGGGCTGTGAAGGGTGACATTTATGTGTAGCCTATTCAATATTTAGGTAAATGTGTCCTTGTAGGTTTAAAAGTCAAAACGCATTGCAATTCCGCTTTAAAAGAGCAGTTTATTTCTTAAAAGCGGCTCGCCATTTATGCTCACAAATAGGTTACATTTTAATATTTAGTGACTTGTCCCACAGGGAGCGTCTATTTGTGGCTCTTTTATAGAAGATTCCCTTTTTAGAGAATCATTTGGATGTGTTTAGGTGGGTCATCGGCTGCTTGTCACAAACCCAAACCTGCTTGATCCAACGCGGACCGTTCTGAGTGCAGAGTTGTGAGTTTTCGCACTTGTGCTTGATTTGCATGCGGCTAGTGAGTCAGGAATTGTCCCGTTTGTTCCTCCGACGCAAAGCGATCCGTTTGCGCACATCTTCAGATAGAGACAGGTACCCGCTTTGAGCACCGGTCCTCTGCAGCGCCGTAAATAGCAGCAGTCCGTTCTGCTGCATGTTTCTATTTATAGAGCCGATGCAGCAGCGGTATGCATGGCGTTAATGTCCTCCCCGTGTGCGCGGACCCGTTAAAGTCTTAACGGAGGAGCACCAAGGCGCATTATACGGAGACCCTAAAGGGACATGGTAGTGGAAAAAAATCAGACTGAGTGAAAAAATTTGGGGTGGGAGGAAAAAATATTTGTCAGATTTTTTGCGTTCTCTCTCGAAACTTTGCGTTCCCTCGCAAAACTTTTGCGTTCTCTCGCAAAGATATTTGCGTTCCCTCGCAAAACGCAAATATCTTTTGCGAGAGAACGCAAAAGTTTTGCGAGGGAACGCAGGAATTGTCCCGTTTGTTCCTCCGACGCAAAGCGATCCGTTTGCGCACATCTTCAGATAGAGACAGGTACCCGCTTTGAGCACCGGTCCTCTGCAGCGCCGTAAATAGCAGCAGTCCGTTCTGCTGCATGTTTCTATTTATAGAGCCGATGCAGCAGCGGTATGCATGGCGTTAATGTCCTCCCCGTGCGCGCGGACCCGTTAAAGTCTTAAAGGAGGAGCACCGCGGCGCATTATGATGTCATGAACGCGCTCAGTTAATGAGCGGTAACACATGAGCCTGGCCGTAACCGGTTATGAATTACTGCCGTTTGACTAATGCGTTCGTTATTATTACCTCTAACATCGTAAATCCGATGGATTATTACAGGACCTGTAGGAAAAATGAGTTAATTACACTGAAAAAGTAGTTGATATAGATTGTAGTTTGTGTTAAACACCTGATTCAAAGTGACCCATTGATTGGATTTGGTGGTTCTCAGCTGGTTTTGCTCCAGGACTCATGTTTTTGCGATCCATCACATTATGAAAAAGTATATTTCTGTAATCAAAAAGGTTTAACAATATGCAAGTGCATCTGTATTTAAAGAAATAGTTCACCAAAAAAGGCCATTCAAGGTCTAGATGAGTTCGTTTTTTTATCTGAATAGATTTGGAGAAATTTAGCATTACATCAATTGCTCACCTATGGATCCTCTGCAGTGAATGGGTGCCGTCAGAATTAGAGTTTTAAAGGGTTAGTTCACCAAAAAGTGAAAATTCTGTCATTAATAATTCAGCCTCATGTCGTTCCAAACCTGTTAGACCTCCCGTTCATCTCGGAACACAAATTAAGATATTTTTGATGAAATCTGAGAGCTTTCTGACCCTACATAGACAGCAAGGGTACCACAATCAAGGCACAGAAATTGTTGAATAAAGTAATTATTTTTGTTTTCTTTGTGCACAAAAAGTATTCTTGTAGTTTCATAAAATTATGGTTGAACCACTGATGTCAGATGGACTATTTTATCGATGTACTTACTACGTTTCTGTACCTTGATTGTGGTACCCTTGCTGTCTATGGAGGGTCAGAAAGCTCTCAGATTTCATAAAAAATATCTTAATTTGTGTTCTGAAGATGAATAAAGGTATTGTGGGTTTGGAACGACGTGAATTTTTATTTTTGGGTGAACTATTCTTTTAAAAGCAACGAAAGCAAAGTGTTTAAATTAAAAACATCTTAATGATAGATTTGTTTATTACAAACACCCAGCTTTTTGCTTCACAAGACATTAATTGATGGACTACTAGAGTCTTGAGGATTACTTGTGGATTATAGAGTGCTGCAGCCGTGACAGCAAACCCCGGAAGACTACTTCGCCATGGTTCCCTTGAGATTTTCCTATGGGTTTTTATAATGGGGTTTGAGTGAAATAAGGTGTGTGGTAAACATAACTTAATGATGCGTGAATGTTTTGCGTCCCATAAACTGAAAACCCCGCTTTGACATCATGACTGCAGCACTCTATTGTGATGTTTTTATCTGCTTTTTGGACTCTCATTTTGACGGCACCCATTCACCGCAGAGGATCAATTAGTGAGCAAGTGATGTAGTGCTAAATTTCTTTAAATCTTTTCAGATGAAAAAAACAATTTAACTACTTCTTAGATGGCCAAAGTGTGAGTCAATTTTCAGCAGTTTTTAATTTTTACGTGAATTATTCCTTTAACGTAGTCTGAATCATATTTTCTTTCACCTTGTGTAATTTTTGCCTGATTTGACTAGCTTCTAACAAGGGACATATATATTTGTGCCTGTATTGTTTGGATGCATGACCTTGGATGTCAACAACAAAAGATATGGGAAGTGTTTTTTTTTTTAATTTTCGAATTATATCAACCTATTTATTTTACTATCCTATGCATGAGTATATTGTTAGTTGCAATTTATAATTTGCATTTAGCATTGTTGCTGTCAGCGACCTTCTCAGAATAGATCTGGGGTCCATTTTTGGTCACAACCTCACTGTTTTGCCCATCGCCTGTTTGTGAGGGGCCATAAGCTCATATGAAGATCAAACCCAACACTTTTCCTTTCATCTCACTCACACGCTTTTTATCTCTTGCGTACAAATGCATGAGCACACAGGCAGACACATTTGATCAAATGGATAATTTTGGCATAGCTGTGTTTGGTTAGAAGCATAAGAGCACAACAGCGTTTGCTGCCTTTAGGCTAACCAGGTTTTTGCTTCTATCTTTAGCAAGCGACTATGCAATAGCATACAAGCCCTGTCCACATATAAAGTAAGTACATGTCCATTAGTTCCACAAGCTTGTGCTAAGATGCACTTAGATTGAAAGAGACGCCTTTCAAGAAGGGACACACTGTATATTGGTATCATATAGTTTATCAATATTTTAGTTTTTTTTAATTTATCAGTATCAGTCTGTCAATATCTTTGCTGTTATCTGATGCTCACTTAAAGTAAAAGTAAAAACTTTTTACTTTTTACCCTGTCTTCCCGCCTCTGTGCCGCCCCTCAGCGGGGTTTGTGAAGTCGCCCCTCTCTGAGACTAAGCTGACGGGCGACACGTTTGAGCTGTACTGTGACGTTGTGGGGAAGCCCACACCTGAGATCCAGTGGTGGTTCGCGGAGGTGAACAGAGCCGACAGCTTCTTCCAATTGTGGGATGGAGCGCGCAGACAACGCGTGTCCATCAACACGGCGTACGGCGTCAATGGTGTAAGCGTGTTAGCCATCACTCGCGTCACCATCGAGGACTCTGGGATTTATGAGTGCAGGGCCAGTAACGACCCACGGCGTAACGATTTGCGCCAGAATCCGTCCACTACCTGGATACGAGCCCAGGCAACAGTTACCGTGTTGCAGAGTGAGTTCAACGGTCCCCGCTAGTGGTGTAGCCAAAATAAACCATTCGCCCCTTGATTTTACCTCCATTTAGTGTTGTGCTGTGGCCAGCGTTTGCTGTAGTGGATCTTCCCTTTTCCTCCTCTGTTTGTTAACCGGAGTATAAACTGGTCAGAGCACCATCCTATTAGATTACTCTTGCCCTTGTAGCTGCTACATATACAGGCAGTGACCTATTTTTGTAGTCAAAAAGCCCTTATTGAGTGGAAAATGTCCTTGTTCTCCTTATTGAGATATTTCAGGGTTTGACCGTGACAGTATTACAGTTTCTGTTTCGAGGAATCCATGGATCTGGTAAGGTACAGTAGTTAGTCGTCAGCCGATATATGTTTTTCAGTGTCCATTGGAAATTCCTATCCCATAGGCCTGTATCATATATGATATACAGTGGAGTCCAGAAGTGTGAGATCACTATGCTGCCTTGTAGAATTCAGTATAAATTATATAATCATAATATAACAATGTTTTATGTGAAAAGATTAACTGAAGCAGGGTTACTATCACTAAAATTATAAAAAATACAAATAAAAACATTTTAGTTACCTGAAATAAAATATACGTTAATTGAAATAAAATTAAAATTAATTATTTTAGCTACTGTAGTTTTCAAAGCAACATTTTTTTAAAGTTCAACTTTGAATACTTAAATAAAACTAAATTAACTAAAACTAATAAATAAAAAAAATAAATAAAAGCTAGTAAAAAACTAATGTAAATGACAAATATGCACAACAACATGACTAAAACGTCAACTAAAAGAGAAAACAAAATATGAAAATAAAACATTCAAAACATTAACAAATCTGTAATAGTGTATCAGTGAGACTATAATAATAATAGACTTTACGTTTCGGGATTTAGTATTTGGTTTGTGTTTGTGTGCAGAATCTTAGACGTTTATTATACATTTTATATTATAACGTTTCTTTATTTAAAAATTTTAAAAATTCTAAATCCTATTCTAAATTCTAAAGGACTCCAAAAGACCTTTTGTGGTCTTAGGCTTTTGGACCCCACTGGATTTAGCATATGAAATTTTCACACACACGTATTTGTGTGTGTGTGTGAGTGTGTTTGTGTTCCCTGTCGCCTTCAGTCAGCGTGATGTAGTATTTCTCTGGCCTTGACCGATGCATCTGTGTTTCCAGAACCATCAATTGAGTCAACGGATCACATGATTCTACCCACGGGTTACCACAGCCCACCAATCACGCTTCAGTGCAACCTTACAGCTTCCCAAAGCAAACACCATGAGAGCTTCTGGATGAAGAACGGGGAGGAGATCCCTGACACAAGGGGCAATGACAAAAGCACAGAATACAAGTAGGTGCTGTTATATATGTGTGTGTTTGTGTGTGTGTGTGTGTGTGTGTGTGTGTGCACATATTATAGTTTTTACTCATTAATTTCAATGTCATATTTATTTTACTTGTTCATTCGTAATCATATTTACTTTACTTATTTATTCAAATGAGATTTAAGTTCAACTGAATGATGCCACATCATATTTTAATACTTTTTTTTTTTTTTGTAATATTGTAAACATTTTCATATGACCAGACTGCTACATCATGCACTTGATATTTTAAACCATTTTTGTTCATAGTGTATAGTATACGGAAATTAATTGACATGAATCAATTAGCAAAATGTGTTAGTTTCAGCCCTACTAGTAATAGTTGTGTATATTGGCTATAAATATGCTTATAAATGTATGCTTATATATTTATAATATACATATGTATATATACATATACATATACATATACATATATGCACATATACAATATACATGTATATGTGCATATATACTGACAGTTTGTAACTCAACAGACAGCATACATTTATTTAACAATAGATTAATTACTAATGACTATTGTAAATTGTATTGCAAAAACATTGACCTTAATATCATTCTATGCTACTATCAGATCAAAATATGCCAATATAGGCTTCTAATCATTTGCATCACCTGAGGCCTTTGTTTTGTAAATTAATTGTCTCAGTGACTCTCAGGCTCTGGCTGAGTGTTTGTTAATGCCGCTCTGCTTCGCATTGCTCTAAATCGTGAGCAAGGGCTCTGTCTCTACCAACACGTGTTGTTAATCTCTCTGCCTGACTCCTAATCTCATCAGACTAGGCACACTAGTACTGCTAACATTTAACCTGCATTAGATTTCTCTTTGCCTGTGGGTGTGTTATTCTGAACCGTTTTATATCATGCCAAGGTACTTCAAAGAATAGCTATGTTACCTTCACTTCATAAGTGTAATGTGTTTTATCTATACAGACTTAATAAACCAAGGCCAGATGATTCGGGCGAGTATATGTGTGTGTACACGTTCGATTCGGCCCCCGCAGCAAATGCCACTATTGAGGTAAAAGGTAAGATGCCCTCAAAATTCCCACGTTTCTCAAAATGTAATCTAAAAAAGTATAGGAATGGAATGTTCACTGGAGTCTGATTTTCAGTTGGTTTGGATGAGTGTTGACATTTTGAACCTGTCTATGGGGTCAGCTTGTCTTTCCATCTCTTCCAAATAGCACATGCTGAGTCAGAGCGGGGCATGGACGCTCACAAAGGCCATGACAGCATGAATGTGAGCTTGGTTAGTTGAGTGGAAAAGACATCCAGGTTTGGTTCACCAGGCAGTACAGGATGAATGTGAATAAATTGTTTGCAATATTAATAATTAGTATATAATTATATAAAAGTATAGTTCAGTCATGAAACTCTAGATGGCGCAGGCTGATGGGTATTAACGTAACTGATGATATTCACAGCGTTAAACGACAGCGAAATGTATATTTTAGTCAGAATTATTGCTCTCATATTTAATTGAGCTCTGTCTGTTTGGCGCACATGCGCGCGGCGGCGCTCCTTCACTGAAGTCTGACAGCAAAATGGAAATATTTCCATGGCTTTCTAACATTTAC